TGGTCTATGGTGGATTTTCCAGGCCTAAAGCCATACTGGTAAGGTCCAATCAGTTCATTGACGGTGGGCTTCAGTCTATCACACAATACGCTCGATAAGACCTTGTAACCTATGTTAGAGGGCTGATAGGTAGTTGGCGCGAATGGCGGGGTCGCCTTGTGGATTGGGCAGAGCACACTTAAATTTCAGTCGTCGGGCATGCGTTCATCTGATCATAAGAGTTGATGCGTGCACCTTATCAACTACTCGCCACCGTACTTGAATAGCTCACCTGACAGGCTGTCATCTCCAGCAGCTTTGTTGTTTTTCAGCCGCGTTATCGCTATTCGTACCTCGTCATGGTCAGGCGGAGGAACATCGACTCCGTCATCATCGTCTGGGGGCTCGAGTTCTTCTCCACAATTTTCCGTGCTGCTACAATTCAGTAGCGTGTAAAAGTGTTCCCTCCAATATTTAAGTACATTCTGAACATCGGTAACTAGGTCGCCATTGTTGTTCTTACAGGAGTACGCCCTGGTCTTGAAACCTTCCACAAGTCGCCTAACTCTGGTAAAATTTTGCGGCATTCTTCCTGTCGGCCAGCATTTCAAGCTCTTCGCACTCACGTATTTCGGCCTCTCTTCTTATTGCGGCAAATACGTATCGCTTCCCTCTTCTGATCCCTATAGCGGTCGCACATAGCGCGCGTTGTGCCCAATCGCAGCGTGGCCCTGTAGGCGGCATCTTTTTTCTCTGCGGCTTCCTGACACTCCTCATCGTACCAGCTGTTCTTTCGGGCTCGCTGAAATCCGACTACTTCTTCGGCGGCTGTACTTAATGAGCGGGAAATGTGGTTCCACTGCTCGCATATGTCGGTTTGTTGAAGAGTGCTCTCTGAGAGCAGGTGTGAGAGTCGGGTAGTGAATGCATTGGCTGTCTGTTGTGATTGCAGCTTTTCGACGTTAAGCTTTCCTTGCATATTCGGGCGCACATTTTTTGCTGCACAGAGGCGGTTGCTTATCTTGGCTGCAACAATATAGTGGTCCATACGTCCAAAACACTGGAAGCATGCCTTCCGTCTATCACAACATCGTCGATTTGGTTTCTCGTTTTTCGATCCGGAGACAGCCACGTAGCTTGATGAAATTTTTTATGCTTGAACCTAGTACTGCATACTACCACGTTTCGGGCCCCTGCGAAATAGATCAGCCTCAGTCCGTTGTCGGACATTTCGTCGTGGAGGCTGAATTTTCCGACGGTGGTTCCAAATATCCGTTCCTTGCCTACTCTGGCATTGAAGTCGCCAAGCACGAGTTTGATATCGTGGCGGGGCAGCGCTCGTATGTGCGCTCCAAGCGCTCATAGAAGAGATCCTTGGTTACCTCATCCTTCTCTTCCGTCGGGGCATGTGCGCAGATGAGCGAGATGTTGCAGAATCTCGCTTTGATGCGGATTATGGCTAGACGCTCGTCCACCTGGGTGAACGACAGTACGCGGCGACGGAGTCTCTCTCCCACCACAAATCCTACACCGAATTTGCGCTCCTTTACATGGCAGCTGTAGTATACGTCGTAAGGCCCCAGTCATTGCTTGCCTTGCCCCGTCCAACGCATTTCTTGGATGGCGGTGATGTCAGCTTTTGTTCTTACGAGGACAGCCGGGCAGAGGCACCTTCCTCATTAAGGGTCCGGACATTCCAGGTGCATGCCCTCAAATCGTAGTCCTTTAAACATTTGCCGTGGTCGTCATAATAAGGGCATTGTTTCGCTTCTGCACTGGAAGGGGTTTTTACGTGGCGGGTCCCAAACCCAGCGCACAACCCATTGCTGGGACGAGGGTGGTTTTACAACCAAATACACGTTTATATAGCGAGCCGTTTACTCCAAGACAGACACCCGCTTGCAGCCACACCCACTGGTGAACAGACGCTGCAGACATCAGTGAGCCCTTAAACCGAATAAGTCGGAGTGGCCCCACCGAAGCTCCCTCTCCTTCTGCCGTGATCTTCGTGCTCCATTCGGACTGGTTACCGCATCTCTCACATGGGTTGCTTACGTTGCCCAGAGTGCGCGAACGAGGACGCAAGAGTCGGGATTGAGTATAGGCGTGCAACTGTAACTGCATACACAGCACAACGACTATACCGCATTGCACTGCTTGAAACTACTATTAACTTATCAAACGATTCCTAATCTTGGACAATGCATGTTTGACTTCATTCACAACGATTTTGAAACCTGACCAAATCGGCGTGACCAAGTCCTTGGTCCTTTTTGTATTATATAAACATCCAAAAACATAGAAACGTTTGAAATAAATCTCGTCTCACTTTTTTATATTTTTTACTTGGTTGCTGAAGTAGTAAAGAATTGAAAATTCATAAGGGAAACTATCGGTTTTGTAAGTTTAATCTAAATATCTTAAAAATTTGTAGTGTTATTGAAAAATGATATATGAATTTAATAATCTTTAATTTGATATATCGTCCTGTTTATAACAATTAACGCATTCCATAGATATTACGAGCCAAAGTTTTATTTTCAAAATTCATACACTTTGAATCAATTGCGCGGGCTAAAGATAAGTTTTAAATCAATCTATCGCGGCTAATAACAATTGGCTTAGAACTAAGACAACATAATATTACTTCTACAATACCGTCAAATGCCTTTTATTTCCACCCAGCCTAATTGCACATTTTTGATAAATGATAATTAGTGTTCCTTTTTTAGTTTAATTTCGAAAGCTACAAATTTGGTTACATGTTTTCCTGTAAATTTATAAATTTTGCTGGTGCACTTCAAGATCGGCATTCGCATAAAGGAGAAAATATTGGCCACAAGAAAAATTCAAAAGCTTATGAAAAAAGATGTATAGGTGTAGTTATGCTTAATGATCAGCAAAACAGTTTTGTTCTCATGTTATGTTTGTAGTTTGAAAGAAATATCACAAAAATGCATTTGCTCTTAAAAATAACAATAATTGAAAGTTGACAACAGTTATAATCAAATAATTATAAGATTGACAGAAAACATTTAAATAAATACTCCACGTAGTATGTTGCTATCCTGGGAACCAAACGGCAGGTAGTTTTTGTCTCGTTTGCTGAGTCAGAATCCCAGTATCAACAAATTATATATTTTTGAAATCTAAAAGTCAAGACGAATCGATTGGTTGGTATTTGGACTTAGGTTTTTTTGTGTTATTTATTGTTTGACTGAAAAAAAAATAAAAGTCAAATTATAACAGTATTTTTTTTCTAACAAATAAAGTCACAAACTAAATTTATTCTCGAAACTTTTATTATAAAAGTCATAACCGGTTGGGCCCCTGGTTCTGAACGAGTCACTGTGCAGCGGCCGGAGGATGTTATACTGGCTTGACAAATTTTCAGGTTAAGGGAAAAATCTGTTAATAAATTAACTTTACAGCAAATGAACTTAATGGATATTAGTTTGGGTGGTTGATTGACCAAAAAAGCTTTTTGTTTTAAGTTGTCACTTTCACAATTGTGGGTTTGGTATTGAGTATCTAATTGAAATTCAAATCCAAAGAACTTTTTTGTGGTCTTAATATTTTACACATGCTTCACACACACAGGCCTCAATAAATACTGTATGCAAGTAGTCCCGAGAAGTCCCTGAAATTCTGAAAGAGGCGAAGATTGGCGCTTACACATATGTATGTTAGTATTTGGCCGCGCTTCTCCTCCGATTTGTAGCGTGCGCCTTGATGTTGTCACACAAAGGGGAGAGACCTACAGTTTTACGCCGACTCCGAAAAGCGAATGTATTTTTATGAGAAGCTGTTTTTCATGGCTGAAATACACTCGGCCGTTTGTCATTGCCTGCCGAGGGGCGACCGCTAATAGAAAACAACTTTTTTGTTTTTTTTTTATTTTTTGATGTTGGGTTGAACCGGGCTTGAACCCAGGCCCTGCGGAATTCTAGCGCACACTGCTAACCACTACACCACAGCGGCCGCCAATTCCTTTATGCTTCAAAAATATTAGTCAACCCTTGCCTCTTATTTTGCCTCAAAAAATAAAAGGCAGAAATAATCGGAGTCTTGCACATAATCAGCCTCATTGCGGGAGTCGTGCCGAATGCAAGTCGTTTTTCGAGAGTCGAATCGTATCGAAAATTTAGCGTCATTGCCTAAAATTTCCACTCGACTAGTGTATTAAAACGGAAGAACTTGGCAGCACTGCATAGTTTTCGACAATTTTCGTCGTTTACTTATTTCAGCACGACAGTAGACAATGCTAATGTAGTCGAGTCGTACAATTCAGCCTAATTTACGACTTACGCAATGAGGCTGAATAATAAAAGTTCGGCATGCATGAATTATAACAGCGCCACAAAAGAAACAATGGCTTGTACCAAAGAATAGATCTATAATTTTTTATGTTTTTTGGCATGCTCCATTGGAATCCGCATCAGAATTGATCGCTATTAGGTAAATTTTTTTAACTTTTTCTGCCCTCATTTGCATAAGTAACTAGATTGAATTATTATGCCAATTTCTGATTAGGATACGAGACATATATGTATTGTAAGCCACTTTTTTTGTTAACCATTATTAACCAATTTTTATATGTATATGGAAGTATGTATAACACATATATATCATTAGAATCGTCCCTCATTGTATATTACAAAGGCCCACAAAAAGTAAATTGGCTTGTAGCAAATACCGCTATCAGGCCAATTTTTTTTAACTAAAAAATCTGTCAGAAACTTTTTCGTTTAAATTTTCCCGATTTAAAAACAAAGTGGCTTGATAACGATCAATTCTGATGTCTGATTCAAATTTGGCATGCCAAAAAACATAAGAAACGATAGTTTTCAGTCCAACCAGTCTCTTTGTGTACCTCTGTACAACGAGGGACTATTCTAATTGCATTTTTTAAAAAGTGGTAGGATAATTTTTTCACGATGATTTCAAAATTGGAAAAAACCTATTATTTACGCTCTCTGCTATGAACATGTACCATTGGTTTAAAATCTGAATTTTTACAGGTTCCTGGCAGCAACATCAAATGGAACTCGCAGACTTGCATAATCGAATCGAAGCGCAGGGATCAATGATCGCAGAACAAGTGCAGCGTTTGCAAAACGCAGATTTGCTTGTTAAAGACTTGTACGTGGAGAATGCTCATTTAGCCGCCACAGTACAACGGTTGGAGCAGAATCGTGCTCGCATGACTATGATGCACCAGCAACGACAAGGTTTGAATGGATTGCCTGGAATGCCTTAATCATTTTGGTGTAATGTTATCCATAAATTTAGAGGCGATTGAATTACGAAATATTTTCTATGAGTAGTTGATATCATCTGTACACAAAAAGGTATTGCTAATCCAAAGAGATAAAATTTCGCACAATACTCGTTTTACACATGAAACGAAATTTTTTTTGTCGATATAACTGCATTCATTCTCATCCTCTGCTAAATGCAACGTTACTGCTGTAGTCCACAAAAAAGCAGATAGTCGTTAAAGTGTCACTACAAAGACCGCTTTTTTGTCCCATATTACATCGTGCTTTCACTTAACCTTCGGTTTTACCATTCAATTTGGCGTTGTAGAACCAAGACTCTCCACTGATTGTTAGAAATAGAAATGTAGTGCATATTAAATGGAGCACGATGTAATATAATATAATTATTAGGTAGTAAATTATATTGACTTCCAGATATGTACATTCATACATATGCATCGTCATGACTTGCATAATGGATTAAATTTATAAAAGGCTAGTATTTTATACGTAGACATAATCTTATAATTCGTAGGTTATAAGATGGCTACTAAAAATATCGAT